AACTTTGTACCAAACTAGTTCCATTCTATGTATATATCTCAAACAAATTTGAAGTCAACAGCGTGAGAGAATCGATAGTTATAGTAATTCCTGCGAGGTGACCCCATTTAGTGTCCGCCATCTTGGATTTTTAGGTCAAGGGGTAACATGGCCATTTTGCTCCAACTTTGACAAAAGGTGGACACGCGTTTTTTCATTAAAAAATCTTGATACTTACAGGCATGATAGAATAATCTTTTGCTTTTCTTGTCATATTCTTAAGCTATGACAGTGATGTTGATTGACATCTGTCAATTAGGGTTGACTTCTGTCAATATAGGCGAAAAGTCAGTTGTAAAGTTTTTCATACAATTTCACATGGTTGTAAAGGTCATGCCTTGGTCTATGTAATGCTTGTATAATCTAGTCAAGATAATTAATTTTAATTTTTTTATAAATTTTCAAAGGCCTTCGAATTAGGCGAAAATATCATGATTCTGAGATAGACAGGCAGTCATTCAATCTACTGTCACTCAATAACCCTAATTGTTGACCAACTTAAAGCTAACAGGTGTAACACTCCAATCTTTTGCCTTCCTTGTGATGTTCCTAAATTAGGAGAGGGATGTTGATTGACATCTGTCAATTAAAGTTGACTTCTGTCAATCAAAGCGAAAATTTAATTATAAAACTTTTATAGAATTTCACACGAAACTAAACGTCATTTCAAGGTCTACTTAATGCTGAAAAAGTTATGTCTTTTTATTGATGTTTAAATTTTTTATAAATTTTGAAAGCACTATGGGTAAGGCGAAAATGGCATAGTTGTGAAATGGACAGGCAGTCATTCAATCTACTGTAACTAAAGAACCCTGATTGTCCCAGCCTTCAAACTTAACAGACATTTAGTATAGGTACAGTTCTATTCTATGTGTAAGTATCAAGAGAATTGCTCAAAACACATAAGATTTATAGCGTCTAAGAGAAGACGAAAAGGGTTGAAAAAATCATTTCTTATTTTTTAATTTCATTTAAAAGTACAACATATTGTCATTATATTTCTGTTAGTTTCACGAAAAAAGGAAAAAAAATGATTTTCTTATGAATTTTTTAAGATAAAAGTGATAGGTCCGCATAGCGTACATATGACACCCATGTTAGCAGAAAATTCGTAAAAAATTTGGAGATAGAGTAGTATCTAAGCCAATAACAACAAACTATTGTTAAGTCTATGGACTATTACGTCAATATCATTTGGTGTCACTTCCGTGCGATTTTGATGGTTTTTTAAGCCCTGCAAAAAAGGGTCAAAAAACCCCATTTTTTCAGCTTTTTGGATCTCCAGCGCATGCGCATTAATGATTTGTGTACTTTTAAACAACTCAAAATGTAGTTCGTGAAGCGACCTTTCTAACGACATATAAGGTGTCTACATTCAATGAAATGGTGCTCAAAAACACCTGAAAAACCTTCTAACCCTAACCCTAGTTTTTCTCAAAATATGCAAATTTGACGAAAAAGGCGCATAAAATCAAAATTATTTGACGTGATGACGTCATACTTGGTCCACATAATATAAACAACGCCATAAACATTCTGTGAAAGTTTCAGCTCGAAAGACCAAAGATTAAAGGTTTTAGCAGTTTTGCGATCTAGCCCTAGTTTCAAGGTTGAGTTACAAGTCAAAGTCTTGTGTGGAGTTGATACCTATACTAGATCTTTCGGCCTAGGTCTGGAATTACCAAATTAGAGGGAATCGAACGAAACCAATATCGCTCGACGGGGAATGGCCTATACTATGCACATACCAAATTTGGGCATGCCTGGATTATTTTTAGCTCGATTCCCCCGCGATGTTGACCCGGCCTCGTTACCCTTACCCTAAGTGCAATATTTGCAATTTGATTTTAATGGAATCATGTCAAACCTTGCAAAAACATAGTCCTATAGCAGTGCTCTATCTATGCGAAAGTACAAGTTCAGAGATTAAATCCTGAATTTTTTATGAATTTTTTAAAGGGAAGCGCTAGAACGAGTCCTGGTCAACATTTTTTTGAAAATGTTGACGTGGCCTCGGTTTTGGGTAATAGATGCGTGGGTGCATATGCATTCTCCAAACCCTGAGGAATCAAGAGGTACTAATATCACTCGACGGGGAATGACGGAGGACTAGGTCTGATGCTATTTTAAGAAAAAAAAAATTAATTTTTCCTTCATTCCCTCGAAAAGTTGACCCGGCCTCGTTCGTCAACTTTGAACTCCAATATCTCAATAAATATATTATAAATATTAATGAAACTTCACACAAACATAGACCAATGTCTAGACTATAAGTGTATTAGGTTTTATTAAAAACTAATAAAACCAAAATTTTTTATCAATTTTTTAGTAACCCCCTAACGAACGAGGCCGGGTCAACATTTTTCGATAATGTTGACGCGGCCTCGTTTTTGGGTAATAGATGCGTGGGTGCATGTTTAATGATTTTGGCTGTGAATGTAAAAATAAAGTCTCCAAATCCCTGGGGAATCAAACGAAACTAATATCGCTCGCCGGGGAATGACGGGGGACTAGGTCTGATGCTATTTTTAGAAAAAAAAAAATAATTTTTCCTTCATTCCCCCCAAAAGTTGACCCGGCCTCGTTCGTCAACTTTGAACTCCAATATCTTAATAAATATATTATAATTAACAATGAAACTTCACACCAACATAGACCAATGTCTAGACTATAAGTGTATTAAGTTTTATTAAAAACTATTAAAACCAAAATTTTCTATAAATTTTTTAATGAACCCCAAAACCTACGAGGCCGGGTCAACATCGAATGAACCTAATTAGGGCCCCCTCCTCACCTCAGTCGAGCAAAGAAAACCAATCACCAGTGACGACCCTACCCTGACAAGCCTTCGGCCCATCTGCGAGTCTCTCTACGCAGCAGAGGGCGTACTACTTTACCAGGACCGCATCGTCGTCCCCCCGTCCCTACGCCATCGAGTCTTACAGAGCCTGCACGCAGCCCATCAAGGAACCTCTTCAATGCAACAACGAGCCCGCGCCATCGTCTACTGGCCAGGGATGTCAATGGATACATGCAACACTCGGGAGGGCTGCGCAGACTGCAACAGAAATGCACCCTCACAGGCAGCAACCCCCCTCTGCCATCAACTCCACCGTTATCCCCATTTGAATCCGTCTTTGCAGACTTCTTTCACTTCAGCGGCTGCCACTACCTGGTCGTAGGTGATCGCCTCTCTGGCTGGGTGGAAGTCCTAAGTTCAACAGCTGGGACCACCCTCGCGGGTTCAGCCGGCGTGGTTCGCCATCTCCGTTCCTTCTTCGCCACCTTCGGCGTCCCGGAGGAGATCTCAAGCGACGGCGGCCCAGAGTTCACCGCTAAGAACACACAGGATTTCCTACGCCTCTGGCGCGTACGACATCGCGTGTCCTCCGCCAGCTTCCCTCAATCAAACGGCAGAGCAGAAGTCGCAGTGAAAACTGCCAAGCGCCTCCTGATGTCCAATACCGGCCCGACAGGCAGCCTCGACCATGATCGTTTCTTGCGTGCCATATTACACCTACGCAACACCCCAGACTGCAACCTGTCACCGGCGCAAATCATCTTCGGTCGCCCCCTAAGGGACTCCCTATCATTCGTAAACCGCCTTGAGAAGTTCTCGAACCCGCACATCAGACCCCTTTGGCGTCAAGCATGGGAGGCAAAGGAGGAAACCCTTCGCACACGCATCACTCACACAACAGAGTCTCTGAAAGCCCACTCACGCCCCCTCCGCCCTCTATCCCTTGGTGAGAGAGTGTTCTTGCAGAATCAACAAGGACCCAACCCCACCAAATGGGACTGGTCAGGGGTAGTGGTGGAATCAGCCGGCCATGACCAATATCGTGTCAAGGTGGACGGATCTGGGCGAATCACACTAATCAACCGCCGCTTTCTGCGAGCCTATACACCAGCTACGCTCTCTATCCGTCCACCACAGCCACCTGCCCACCAGCCCACCAGCAGTGCTGACCAGAGCCCACACCCACAGCCCCCTGTGCCAACACAACCTACTGCTTAGTCTAAGCGAACCACTGAGGCAAAGCTCAACGTACCAACTGCGGTCCTCGACCCAGCACCCATGTCGCCCCTCGCCCCGGCACAGGATAACAGCCCCGTTCCCGACATACAGTCCCGAGAACCCCAGTTACCAGTAGCTGCTGATAAGGATTCCACAACGCCCATTACGCCACCTCAACTGCCGCCCGACCCAGTTGCACGTCCTCGCCGCTTAACACGGCCGCCCAAAGGGTACCAACCCGAAACAGGACAATGGGTCACTTGAGTCCTACAACCGACGCTATACGTTGTACCGTTCTCGGTTCTCGGACTGGGGGAGATGAGGGGACTACTGCTGGCCACATACTGAGGACTCGTTAGGACCGCTGACCTGTGCTAGTCAGCCAGATTGTTTCGGACACTCGAACTCATGAACATCAACAGATATCTTGGGAATCGAACTTATTATCGTAAGTCTATTATATTCTGTTTCGTTTAGCTTATAGTTCGCTTTACCTAGTGTATGGATATTGTGATTTATCCTGTAGATATGTTTCATCGTTGTGATTGAACCAAATCAATCGAGGAGTTCGCTTCATAAAGCGTCTCGATTGAAGAACAGCAACACGCAAAATTTTTAAGTAGCAATAATCCGGCAGTTCCATACACAGCTTTTGACCGAACGCAGAGGCGTGTTACACTGCCATTTAAAACTTTTCGTTCAATAAAAATGATAAACAGCACTCTTTCATAAAATATACTTAAACAAATTTAAACCTTACGTGGTCGCTTTCACCGCTTGACTTTACATCTGTTGTGCGGAGGAAGGAATATGAGTTGGTGGGTTTTCGAATTTTATTTGTTTAGAAAACTGAACAGGGTGGTTTCAATCAAACGAAGAAGCGAATACAAACTCCAACCGGCCATAGACTGTTTAAAAACTGACAATAAACCCGCACCTTTTGATGAGAAAAACTGCTTTGAAGTTCGAAAGTTTACGACGACGTGAAACAGGTAAACAGGTCCTTCTCAAGTCGTCCACGACAAGACGACGACGGAATTCTTGGTTCGCACTTGCGCAGTGACGTTCTTGCTACTTCCGGTCGTCCTCCTCCGTTCGTCGTCGTGGTTGCTTAAGCTCCCTACTATTACTTTCAAAACCGCGATTACAAGCACACTGAAAGAAGAAACCGAATATCTTTATAACAGTCTGCTGTCTGTCAATGCATCTCGTGCGCGAAAACAAGACACTTCGGGTTCGTGTCATATGAGGGACCTGAGCAAAGTTTCTTTGTTTTCGGTACCAGGATAAAAAGTGTTACAGTTGTAAACGCGTAAGTCTTAAGACAAGACATAACAGTTTATTTTATTAATAATTTTAAAATTATGTCACATCTTAGAACGAAAAATCTTCGTTAAACTATAATTACGCCTTACGGTTAAAATGAATCAATGTTAACGCCTAACGGTTTTTTTTCGGCCGTTTTACGGCTATCGGTTAACCTCATTGAGATCCTCTTAATAGGAATCACGAGAAGAAGTTGAAGGTCGAACACATTTTGGGAGGTAAAGGGTTGAGATTAGGTGTATCTTAGCTAAAGCTTACTTCGGTGCTAATTATTTTTCTAGGAGTAAACGTGGTTTCAAATTCGACGTCGGTTAAGAAAGTAACTTCTTAGAGTATGGCTCAGAAATACCCAAGTTTTCATATAGGTCAAGTTGTGGTTATATTAAAATTTGGTATATTTTTTTTAATATTAATTTCCCAACCTCAGTGTTCTCGTCTCCTGACGCATTCTCAATTTGTCAGTGCATTTTTTAAGCAAAACTGAGTTTTCTAAGCTGGTTAAAACTTTTACATACAAACATATTTTGCTCTGTTGTCAGTATGAATAGACACAGGTATGATGTGCGAGTGTGCCAACCATATTTGGTTTTTCCTGTTAGGGACTGTTCCGAAATGCATCACTTGAGCTTGGTCGTGTGCCTCATAGCCATACTTGCTTCCTCAAAATATCAAGTAGCGGATGAGGCAGAGACGAAATCCGAACCAGCTAGATGCGTTTACAGAGTTTCTGCAGAAGAAGTATACGAGCTTACAAGTTTGGCAAACACCAATGGGACGCCTAGATTTGCATATATAATACACACACTTACTTAATATGATCACTTTCTATTATCTGTAACTGCAATGCGTTATCTTACCCTGCATCAACTCTGGTTGAACCTTTTTATAGTACACAAACAGGACAATCCCCTTCGTCTCATTACATCTCGTTGTGGCACAGCAATTAAACGACTTTCTGCTTTTGTAGAATTTAAGGAATTGATATAATCCACAAGACCCTCAACACTAAGGGTCTACTCCCAGTGGGCTCTTTGCTTGTGTCCAAGGAGGTAGTGTTATGTTTCCTTACATTGACAACAACGTAGGTATAACCACCGTTTGGAAAGCCCTTGATTCTAGATCTCGTTAATTTCCCTCCACCTATTTCGTAACTGAGGCTCTTGAAATTTGTCTCAGTATGAACAATTTTCCATTTTCCAATCAAAATTTTGTGAAAAAGCAGGGCACTGCCAGGAACAAAAAAAAAATTCATGTAGTTATGCTGACTTAGCAATGGGCATAATTGACAAAAAAGCCAAATTTGAAGGTAGTCTAAAACCTATACTCTGTTGGAAATATAGAGATGACACTTTTGACGTTTGGACCCAAGGTTTGCCCAAACTGCTTCCATTCACTGATGATATAGATTTTCTGTACCCCAATTACCAACGAATTCGAGTTAGTACATTTGGATAATTATTCTACATGCATGTTTAAGATCTTACATTACACCTTAAGGATGGGTTGATTGTTACTGACATTTACTCCAAACCCACTGATAGCCACCTTTACTTGCCTTTTTTTAACTCACACCCGTCTCATTGCAAAAGAGTTTTTCCCTTTGGGGTGGATTTGAGAGTTAAACGTAATTGTCCCAACGATGATTTCGTGAAAAAGATATGTCGAGTATACAAGAGTTATTTGAAGTCGCAAAGTTACCCCACACGTTTAGTTGACAAACAGTTTGATAAGGCCCTTTAAATTCCAAGATCTGAACTTTTAAGTAAAAAGGTGAAAGCCAACAAGAAAGTTTTTCCTTTGATGCTCGATTATAATCCTATTTTGCTGGACGTTCAAAGCAAAGCATTATTAAGAAGCACTTTCATTTATTACGATCTTTTACTCGAGTCACAGAATTTTCTCATGCCAAATCTATATTTCCTGCTTACCGCCGAACCAGAAACTTCAAAGAAATTTTAGCACCTTCTAAGTTTCGACCCAGCTTTTTGCAAATCAGAAGGTTGAAGAGTGTTGCTTTAATTGCAACAGAAAAAGGTGTGACTTGTGCAAGATTTTCTTACTTCAAGTTTCTAAATTCCAAAGCAGGATATTCCACAGGCAGGATATATCTCATTCTAAGAAAGTAACCTGTTTCTCCAAAAATGTCATCTACCTTGCAACATGTCATGAATGTAATTTACAATATGTAGGGTCTACATCGACCGAGTTTAAATTAGATTCCGCAATCACAAATCAAGTATGCTTAATAATAGAAGAACATATGAACTGGCAGTACATTACAATAGCTCTCAACATGAAATTTGTCAAATCAGTTTTATCATCACAGAACAAATTACACGTTTCCAAACTCCTCTACATATAGACCAACTGTTACTTACCAGAAAAGCCTGTTGGATGAGACATTTATTCACGCATAATTTGCATGGCTTCAAATCTCTTCTATATTTCTAATGGATTATAAATAATGTTTGGTTGACCTATGGCACATCACCAATCACATACTTGCATAATGAAATAATTCCATTAATCAGTTGTCTCTTTTTCCTGAAAAGATTTAGCGCAAAAGACCACCGCAGTTATACATACAGCTATAATCCCTGCTTCTCATTCAAAATTGGACCGCATAAAAACCCAGGTCGTTCTAATGTGGCGGTAAGGAATAATTATTGAAAGCTTATTAAATATTGAGTAGCCAGGGTGGTAGATGGAACAAAAGTTGATTTTTTCTGTTACTGATCGTAGAGAGTAGAATAATAGGTCTTTTGTTTAGGGATTCTGGACAAAATAAGACTTGCAGCTTCCCTTAGCAGTGATGTTGGGAAGTTTGTAAATTTTGGAAAAAAACAAAAGTAGTCCGTCCTTTTTGATGTCCAAAGTCAGAGTTGCTTTACTTGCACCAATCTACTTAGTTATCGGGAATTTTTTTAGTTATCTAAACTAAGTAGTTTAGTTATCTTTTTCAGTTATCGAGAATTTTCCGTCAATATACCAATACTTTTCTCTTTTCATTGAGATTTTTTTGGGGGCAATAGAAGCTTGTCGGTTTTGCATGTAGTTTGCTCGTTGATTCGCAATTCGTTCGAATTAGCATTAAAATAATTGATCAACCCTTCCATTCTGCACAGATCATTACTCATGAAAAGATAATCTTTACACTCAAGTTCTTTTATTTTGCGAGTGTTTAGAAAGTTGTTTTCTTTATTCGCATCATGTCTCATTCTCTCATACGGAGAATAATTTTAAATGGAAAATATTTCAACTCATAATCTTGTTTCAGATTTGTAGGTGGTTTGGAGCTGATTACCACGTAAACATTGGACTTCAGACCTCAGAGTCGTTTCACAAAGACTCGAATCCAAGACTAAATTATCATACTGGGGATAACACGTGGGTGCTTGTATTTACTAAGGGAGACATAAGTAGCATAATTTCTTGGACTTTTAAATTTTATGGGGTCTTAAAGTAAATGTGAGTCCCAATTTGTGGCTCAAAGTAAAGATTGGGATAAACATGAAGTTGCTGTTTGGTTATGATACCTAAGTACCTACCTCAAATACATACTTCATCTATTATTAGCATGGGCACTTACAAAAGTGCTAATTCCTCGTGAAGCCAGCCTGAGATCATTTAATGACGGTAAGTGAATTTTCATAATAGCAAGTAGCAACGGTACT